ACCTATTTCTTTATAAACCTATTAAGAGATTATATTCTAGTTATAAAGTATTATATATATTTGTTAAGGGCTAGGCTATAGAGCCTGCCCTGGTCCTTCTAGAGTGGCCGGCGCGGAGCCCCTAGGGGGCCCCTTATAGGTGCAACTAGACAACAATAAGTCAGTATTGTTGTTACAAATCCTTTTGCCTTCCGTGGTCAAGTGGGTAAGAGGGTTGTGGCCGTAAGGCCACTGACGGCTGCGGGGCTGGTTGCCCCCGAAGCCCCTCTGGGGCCAGCCCGTCACATACAACAATACTACCCAGGGTCATAGGTTCGAACCGTACAGCAGGCAGCCACCACGAAAGAGTGGTGTAAGAGCTAGCGCTGCGTATGGGCATATTTCGACCTAGGCTCACAGGCTGTGCATTGGAGCCTGGGGGGGTTTGTGGCCTATCTGTGGGCGCGCCGGGGAGAGAGAGGGTATATTAAGGGCTAGGCTACAGAGCCCGCCCTGGTCCTTCCAGAGTGGCCGGCGCGGAGCCCCTAGGGGGCCCCTTATAGGTGCAACCAGATAACAACAAGTTAGTATTGTTATTATGAATCCTTTTGCCTTCCGTGGTTAAGTGGGTAAGAGGGTTGTAGCTGTAAGGCTACTAACAGCTGTAGGGCTGGTTGCCCCTAAAGCCCCTCTGGGGCCAGCCTGTCACAATATTATCTATATACTATAAAGACTTTAGTCTTTACTTATAGTCTAAATAAAGAAATAGTTATTTTATAAATTATTAGTAATATATTATATATTAATAACCTTATTACTAGGAAGTTATCTTAAGGTTAAATAATCTTCTTATATAGTAATTCTATATTTTAAAAAGCTATAAAATAAGATATTATTATACTATCTATAATAAAGGCTAAATTATTAAGTATATCTAGCTTAGTAAAAAAGGCTTTTATAATATACTATCTTCTTATAATAATAAGAAGATAGGTAGCTTTCTTATATAAGATAATATATAATAATACTTAAATAATATATATTATTATTAATAATAAAAAGTATATATTAACTAAATTATAATATATTAATATTAATAATATATAATTAAAATAGAAATATAGATATAGGTATTTTATACTTACCTTTATTCTAAGTAAAGTAATACCTATAGATAGTCTTATTAAAGCTCTTCCTTATTAAGCCTTTTTAGAGTTTAAATATCTTATTAATTTAAAAGAGTTTTTAAATATAGTTAAGAAGAGTAATATAATTACTTTAATATAAGATATAAAGTATAGTATAAATAAGAAAGTATTATTTAATCTTTAACCCTTTAAAGAACCTAAAGATAAGTAATATTCTATTTAATTATTATAATATATATACTAATTTTTAATAGCTTTATTATATAACTTTATTAATAAATACTTTAAGATAATATAAAGCCTAGGTTTTTTACTTAAAAAGAGCTTCTTTATTTAATATTATATTAATAATAATAGTATTAAATATATTATCTTTCTTTTTTAATATTTTAAAAATAATATATAGTATTATATAATATAAGACTTTATTTTAAAAAAGAGAGTAGAGTATTAGTAAGTATTATTAAAGGGTATTAAAAGTAAATAATAAATAACTTATAGACTTAAGGCTATCCTTATATACTATTATTAAATATTAAGTAAAAAGGATTATTATAGCTAAGTATAGCTTATACTTATAGTAATAATAAATATAACCTTTATACTTTTATAAGTATATTATCTTTTTAATTAATATAAAGTTATAATATATATTATCCTTTTTATTAAAGAGTATAAATTAAGTATATCTTAAATAAAGGTTTACTTAATAAAGTTTAAAATTAGCCTTTACTAGCTACTTTATAAGAGTTTAAAGCTAGGAAAGTATTAGTTAGCTTTAATTAACTTAAGTAAAAAAGTAAGTACTTATAGTATATACTAATAAAAGTATTAATTATATTTAAATTATATAACTTATAAGAGTTATCTTAATAGGAGTAGTAAAAGTATTATAGTAAGGATAATATAGTATAATAGGTACTTTCTTTTCCTTCTTTTCTTCTTCCTTTTTCTTTTTATCTTTATTCTCTTTATTTTTATCTTTAATCTTATCTTTAGCTAATTTAGCTATATTAATATCTTTATTATTATTATTATTATTATTATTAATATCTTTATTAATAACCTCTTTAATAAAGATAAGTATATATATTATTAATAATAAGACTAGGTTTATAAAGGTTTAAAGCTTTAACTTATTAGCTAAAGTAATTATAACTATATTAATCTAATAATAATTATATTAAAAAGGATATATAATATTATTATAAGCTTATACTTTTTTATATAAGTTAATAAATAACTTATATACTTTTATAAAAGGCTTTTTTTACTTAATAAAAAGTATAGAGGCCTTTAAAAAGGGCTTTTTAATATTTACCTTCTTAAAGGACTTTTCTTAAGTATTTAGGAATATAATTACCTCTTTAAAGGACTTTTTATTAATAATAATAAAGGTAAAAGCCTTAATAATAATAAATAAAAGGGAGTTAATAACTATAAAGCTAATATATAAAAAAACTATTATTAAGAATTTAATATAATTAATAATTATAAAAAGAAAAGAATAAAAAAGTAATAAAGAATTATTATTATTTTTAATAAATAAAAAAGTAAATAATTAAAAAAAAGTAAATAAATAATAAAGAATATAAGAATAATATATAATAAAAAATAGCTTTTTATATTTAAAAATACTAATTTACTTATTAATTAAAATAAAAAGTATTCTAAATTACTTATTAAAAAGAATAATAATTCTATTATCTATCTATTTTTATATTAAACTATTATTTATATTATAAAATATATACTTAAATAGTATATTAATATACTTTTTATAAAAAATAAAAAAAATATAAATATATTATTTTATTTTCTTTATAAAATACTCTTTTATATAAATAACTACTTTTTACTATATTCTTTATATATAATTATTTTCTTTATTTTATATTAACTTATACTTAATAATTAAAAAGTATATTATATAAAATACTACTTTAATAAAAAAGCTTATTTTATTTATACTAATAATAAGTATAAATAAATAATAACCTTAAGTATTTTAAAATATAATATTATTTTATAACTTAAATTATATAGCCTAAGGCTAGGAAATAGGATATATAAATTAACTAGTTATTTTTTATAGCTTTATTTAATATAAGGCTAATTTTCCTTATTATCTTTACTTTCTATTATTCCTCTATAAGCTATATTAGCTACGCTACTATCTTATATAACTATATTAATGCTCTATAGATACTAGAGCGTGGGGTTACCCGCGGGTGACATATGATATAAACAAGGCTGTGAGTGATGGTTGTGCATCCGAAAAGTGAAACATAGTCTCGGGATGACGATGCAGACGCTTTTCGGGAGCGGCACGCAGCACCCTGGGCCGGTCAGATGCGATAATTTACCGTGTTATAATGTCGAGTCGCGAGAACTAGTGGTAGAGGCGTTATCCGTAGTATGCATCCCCCGTTTACGTAGGAAAGGCAACTTACTTCTATACTTCGGTAGCCATGTAGTCATACCCTGTTATGAAGGGCATAGCGTCACGCGATATATCCAAGGTTTTTAATCCTCTGTTAATTATTCGCGGACTAGTAGAGGCACTTAAATCTACTAAAAACAATGCATAGTACCGAGTCCACTCGATCTTCCCGCGTGCGGCAGAACCTCTGTAAGAGGGCACCACTGGAGCTTCTTCGCGGAGCACCTCCTGCAGGCGGGCTTCAAGTTGTCGCATTATATTCGTCGAGCGCTTCAGTAGCTGCAAGTTCAGAGTTGGACGGCACTCCCTTATCCGTATGATGATACGATCAGCGCAGGGATTGCGTCCGGCTTCCGCAGCCTTCGCACCACACCATCATAGACTCATAGCCTTGCTTCTGATCAACAGCAACATACGACCGATTGCAGAGACTTCCATTTACTGCCCCGTCTGAAATCCGATTTCAGGATCGGGAAAACCCCAATGGGGAAATCCAAGGCTTAGCTCTAACCATATTAGGTGTTTCTTGTCATTGAAGATGCCTCAAGAAAAGTATACCAGGTGCTCGTAGAAAAAGTTACCTTGTTAGGGAGAAAAGGCTACCTTGTTGGGGAGAAAAGGCTTTAGAAGCACAGGCTCTCCGCTGCGCCACGTTGATCATTCTGCAGTCTGCAGTCTCCCAATGCAGCCGTTTTCCGCCCATCCTCTGAAATGGCAGATACTTACAAATCTTCGACGTCGCGTCTCGCCTATGGATTGATGGTCCATAGGGGCGGTTCCGAACCCCGGATGTTCATAAAAGGGCTCCCATTTCCCTCCAGAAAAACAGCTTTCCCTCTATTCCAAAAAAACTACACACCCAATACTACAGACTACACTTTTCTAAACATTTAATTCATCAAAATGCAATTTTCCGCCGCCATCGTTACTCTTGCCCTCGCCACTGGCGTCTTTGCTGGCGTCGCCGACGTCAACTCCCCTGCTCGCATCTATCATGGCGTAAGTGAGCCCTATTTCCCATTATTATGGACTGAAACTGAAAAAATGCAAACAGACTTGCAGTACTATAACTCAAAAGTGCGACTTCGACCGCAACGGCAACCGCAACAAAGCCAAGACCACTTGCTCGTCTGGCCACCAGGTGTGTCCTCATTTCCTGCATACGCAGCGCGGGTGGTGAAATCAAGGATCTGACTGAGACGATTATAGTGCACCATTACTGGGAATTACTGCAACTGGAGTGATCAGAGCAGGATTACCGTCTGCAGCTAAATGTACTTTGAAAATTGAGGCGAGAGGGGTTGTGACACTATTGAAATCAGATCTGGGACATACGTACAGCCTGGCTAGAACCAATCAACCCACCAAGTCTCTGCACTCTGCCAGCAAACTCAAACTAAACCCTAATGAAGATGTAGCTCTACAGCGCATCAATCAATAGTGTGGTTCTCCAACGGCCCATATATGGTGGACGAAGTACAGTCGACATAGCCGAGACAGTTTGCAGCAGCCGTAGCCACGCTTTCCTCTCCACAATTAACAAGCTCCTCCAGCCTCGACATCCAAAACTTCCACCGCTCGACGCTGAATCCCGGAACATTGATGGTGCCCGACTGACGAGCGAGCTCGCCCAAACTAGCCACGCTCGGTGGAAGTGTACCTACGTCCGGGGCCTCGGAGCCGTTGCTGAGGCTGAGGGTACTCTCTTTCGCGTACCGTATGAAAGCTGCAAGGGCGTGGATAAGGTGGCTCACGGAGACTTCCTTATCCGATGTCAAAGCTCTGTCGGTTTCTAGTGTCTCGCGGAAGAGGGATAGGAGACATGTTGCAGGACCATTGTATATTCCCACGGAGAGAAGGCGTCCAACAAAGCAAGACAAATTGACACGCTGATTATGATGATTTGCGTAGTCGAGTTGATAGAACCGGTCCAGCCACACTTGGACCAAGTCGGTGCCTAGAAAGGGCAGACCAGACCAGAGGCTGTTGCCGTCTGAGAAAAGAACGTGTCGACGATTGCTGCTGGAAAGAGGCTCTTGGCCACCCGAAACAGACGACAGTGGCCTAGTCAGCGTTCCTCTGGCCCTGGCCTGCAGAATCAGCCGGATAAGCGTATCATGCTTGCGATTCTCCGGGTTCCAGTGGCTGGCGCCCAGGATGGCGGTGCGCCAAAAGTGGTGCAATTCAGCTTCGAGAACGATCATCGGTGTGGCGGTAGCAATGTGGCGAAATGTAAGAGCGGAGATGTGCGACTCAACGGTGATATCGAGGGTATTGTCATCTCCTAGCTCGGCCTCTTGGTCAACGTGCTTGTCTGCGATGCTGGCACATTTTAGGAAGCGGGCAAGCCGCTCCTCTTCTGACTGTTCTGAGACAATGTGAGGCGCAGGTCTGTTTTCCATGTTGTTGACTGTTTGCTGTTGGCTGAGTTGATCAAGGATGAGGATATGAGATGAAAAGAAGGAAAGGAAGAAGGAAACTTGTGTGCTTTATATATTTCAATACTTGATACCTCTTCACGTCTGTGTGTTTGCTCCTCTACAGCAGTTCGCCGCTAAGCCTTCCGCCTCGCATTTCGCCGCTAAGCTTTTAGCGGCCCTTGAAAGTGGGCTAGAACGGGCGCTAAGGAAAGCCGTCCGAATGTGTCGCGTTGCAGCAAAAGCGGGATCCACACCTTGCTGGCATCTTAAGTACAAAATTCGTATGGAGCCAGGCACCTCAACCGTACTGATCCGGTACCGTACCATTCCGCCGTACCATCTCCGCCGCTGC